ACGGGCTGGGGAAGCGGCTCATTGGTTCATCACAGTTTATTTAGGCCACTCCTAATTTTAGCCCATTTTATGTTTTAAAATTTGTGCCGAATGACATCTTGATAAACTTTATCTTACAGATAGCTCTTTTCACAAATCTGTAATTTCTTGGGTTATAATCCTAGAAATAGAACTGCTTGTTGGAGGGGTATATACATTTTTAAAGCTGATGCTAGGAACTTCCAGACTGCCCTCCAGAGATAGACCAGTCTGTATTCCCACTAACGGTCAGCTGTCCCACGCCCCTGCCCAAGTTTGCGTGCCATTACACGGTCAAGCATAGGGTTTGCTGAAACAGCTGTGTGCCGACTGACTAGACGGAGGGCGGCATCCTCCTTGTTCTGATCCGCAGTTATATTTCTGTGCTCACTAGAGAGCACGTGTGTCTTTTCATGTTGGCCATTTTATATTTGTTCTTTAGTCAGTTTTCTTTCTCTGTCCTTCATTCATTTTTCTTTTGGGACTTTCTTTTTAGTTTGTAAGAGCTCTTGATACGTGAGTGAAAATAATATGTCGTTCACAGAGTAAACTGTCATATATACTGCAAATTTTTTTACCCAGTTTGCCCTTTTATTTGGTTACGGGGGTGTTATAAGGTATAAAAATCTTACATTGTTGAATCTTTTGATTTCCACTTTTGCGTGTATGCTTCAAAAGACCTTCTTTACCTCAAGATCAGCTGTTCACTGGTGTTTTCATTTCATTTAAAAATCTTCTAATTTATATGCATTTACAGTTATTTCCTAGTTTGATTTACAAATATGTGTAGTTTGGACTTAGAAAAAAACTTAAGTATCCACCATTTCTTTTGCAGCAAAGATCTGTGGAGAAGATGGGCAGGTGGATCCCAACTGTTTTGTTTTGGCGCAGTCCATCGTCTTCAGTGCGATGGAGCAAGAGTAAGTCAGCCTCATCCTTGCGCATTTCTCGTCCTTGGGAATTTGGGTTCAGTCTTAAGAATAGAACTAAAAACAAACTACCTTTGAGGATTTAAGTACTTTGAATGTTTACAGGGTCTTATAGGCATACTCTGTGACTACCTTGGTTAATGGTTTCTTTTAAATATAAATAATGTGAATTCTATTAAAAATAAAACAGATTTTTATTTTTACTGCTGATATTTCCTAATTTAAAGAATTTAATTCTGAAGTCACCTGCGGATGACTGTGATTGGTGTGATGCGTGATTGGTTTATCTGTGTAAACAGTGCGTGTCTTCAGATGGGCACCCTCGCTTGTTAGTGCATGCTTGAAGCTTAATGGATGCTGTGTCACTGAATTCACATAGATTTGTTGAAACTGCCTCCAGAGTTTTGTTAGATCAATTCTTGCTGCATGCCCTCTAAAAAAATCTACGTATTCATTCTTTCACGTAACATTTATGAAAAGGGTGCTGTGCACAGTCGGATGTAGGACCTGCTTTGAGGAAAATTACAGCCTAAAAAGAGCAATAGGCCATGTTCTTTAGTTGCTGTAATAAAAGGTAGCATGTGGCAGGTATCAGGGGAGAGCTACCGCCCAGTGCGAGGTGGGGAGACCTTTTACAGCTGGAGGAAGCAGAACGCACCGCGAGAAGAGGGGGAGCGCTGGCCTGGGCTGATGAGCTGCAGGGGCGCAGGGTGGAAAGACTGTATCACCCCGGTTGAGCGCTTTGCTTGGTCGATCCCTCACGTTTTACCTTTTTGTCCATGTGTAGGCACTTTAGTGAATTTCTCCGAAGTCACCATTTCTGTAAATACCAGATTGAAGTGCTGACCAGTGGAGCTGTTTACCTGGCTGATATCCTCTTCTGTGAGTCAGCCCTCTTTTATTTCTCTGAGGTAAAGTCTGCATTTCCTTTTGCACTCCGTTAGGGCATTCCGGCCTCTAGACCCTAACTGCTCGGCCCCTGGCTGTGGAAGATAGCACACATATCATTTCCAAAAAGATCAGTTGGATTTAAGTACTTTTATTACTGTTCTGCGTTGCGTATAATGGCAAGAGTACTCAATGGCATATTAGATTAAAGAGAACATGAAAATTCGGTGTGCAACAACTAATTTTGAAAAACCTAATTAAAGTTCTTCTTATAAAAAATGCAGGTATTTAGTTATTTACAACTGTTTTAAAACCGCAGATTTGGTACTTGACTCCAGTGCATAAATGTTTGTGACCAGACTTCAGAAGAGAGAGGGGAAGCAGGGAGTTTTCCCTGCTGTCATCAGTCTCCTTGAGCTGCTCGGCAGGGCCGCCCAGCGAGGCTTCCGGCTCTGCAGCTGTTAGGCCGCAGCAAATCGCTTCATTGCAAAGCAAGTGCCTCTTAAGCAGCGAGGATTCCAGGTCTCACAGGCAGCAACTTAGCCTCACGCTTGCATCCTGCCTCTTCACAGAAACAGTTACTCAGTGGATTTATTTTTTCACTCCCTCTTTTTGCCATAAATTTAAGTCAGCATTTGTTCTGGTTAATACGGCTGTGTGGAATGGTGGAAATGACCAAGTATAAAAGATTTGGTCCGAAAAAGAAGAGCAAAAACACCCAAAAGTCAACAGAAGGAAGGAAATAATAAAGATCAGGGAGGAAATAAATATAACAGAGATTTTAAAAAAAACAGAAAAAAATCAATTAAACCAAAAGCTGTTTTTTTGAAAAAGTAAATAAAATCAACAAACCTCTGGCCAAACTCAAAAAGAAGAAGAAAGCACAAATAAGCAAAATAAGAAAGGAAAATGGAGAAATTACAACAAATAACATAGATATACAGAATATCATACAAGAATATTATGAAAAACTGTATGGAACCAAAATGGATAACCTAGAGGAGATGGACAAGTTTCTGGAAACATACAGTCCACCAAGAATGAACCGAGAAGAATCTGAACACTTGAACAAACCGATCACTAGAAATGAAATCAAATTAGCAATAAAAAACCTCCCTACAAATAAATGTCCAGGACTGGACGGCTTCACCAGGGAATTCTACCAAACACACAAAGAAGAATTCATACCAGTCCTTCTCAAACTCTTCCAGAAGATTGAAAAGGAGGGAATACTCCCAAACTCATTCTATGAAGCCACTACCACCCTGATGCCAAAACCAGGCAAAGACACTACCAAAAAAGAGAATTACAGACCAATATCACTGATGAACATAGATGCAGAAATCCTTACCAAAATATTAGCACATAAAAAGGATTATACATCATGATCAAGTTGGGTTCATCCCAGGGACACAAGAGTGGTTCAACATATGCAAATCAATCAATTTAACACATCACATCAACAGGAGAAAGGACAAAAACCACATGATCATCTCAATAGATGCAGAAAAAGCATTTGATAAAATTCAACACCCATTTATGATAAAGACTCTTGCCAAAGTGGGTAAAGTGGGAACATATCTCAACATAATAAAAGCTCTATGTGACAAACCTACAGCCAGCATAGTACTCAACAGTGAAAAACTCAAAAGCTTCCCACCAGAATTTGGGACAAGACAAGGCTGCCCACCATCACCACTCCTATTCAACATAGTCCTGGAAGTCCTAACCACAGCAATCAGGCAAGAGAGAGAAATAAAAGGGATCCAAATTGGAAAAGAAGAGGTGAAAGTGTCACTATATGCAGGTGACATGATACTATATATAGAAAACCCTGAAAGGTCCACACAAAAACTAGTAGAAATAATCGAAGAACTCAGCAAGGTAGCAGGTTACAAGATTAACGTTCAAAAATCAGTTGCATTTCTTTACACTAATGATGAATCAACAGAAAAAGAAAGTGAAGAAACAATCCCCTTTAAAATAGCACCCAAAGTAATAAAATACCTAGGAATAAATCTAACCAAGGAGGTGAAAGACTTATACATGGAAAACTATAAAACACTGATTAAGGAAATTAAAGAAGACTTAAAAAAATGGAAAGATATCCCATGCTCCTGGATTGGAAGAATCAATATTGTTAAAATGGTCACACTGCCCAAGCAAATCTACAGATTTAATGCAGTCCCTATCAAATTACCCAGGACATATTTCACAGAACTAGAACAAATCATAATAGAATTTATATGGAACCATCAAAGACCTAGAATTGCCAAAGCATTACTGAAGAAGAAGAAAGAGGCTGGAGGAATAACTCTCCCAGGCTTCAGACAATACTACAGAGCTACAGTAATCAAAACAGCATGGTATTGGTACAAAAACAGACATATAGACCAATGGAACAGAATAACCCAGAAATGAACCCACAAACTTTTGGTCAACTAATCTTCGACAAAGGAGGCAAGAATATATAATGGAATAAAGACAGTCTCTTCAGCAAATGGTGTTGGGAAAACTGGACAGCAGCATGTAAATCAATGATGCTAGAACACTCACTCATACCACACACAAAAAATAACTCAAAATGGATCAAAGGCTTAAACATAAGACAAGATACAATAAACCTCCTAGAAGAAAACATAGGCAAAACATTATCTGAAATACATCTCAAAAATTGTCTCCTAGGGCAGTCTACCCAAGCAATAGAAATAAAAGCAAGAATAAACAAATGGGACCTAATGAAACTTACAAGCTTCTGCACAGCAAAGGAAACCATAAGTAAAACAAAACAACAACCTGCAGAAAGGGAGAAAATTTTTGCAAATGAAACCGACAAAGGCTTGATCTCCAGAATATATGAGCAGCTCATACGACTTAATAAAAAAAACAAACAGCTCAATCCAAAAATGGGCAGAAGACCTAAACAAGCAATTCTCCAGTGAAGACATACAGATGATCAACAGGCACATGAAAAAGTGCTCAATATCACTAATTATCAGAGAAATGCAAATCAAAACTACAGTGAGGTGTCACCTCACACTGGTCAGAATGGCCATCATTCAAAAGTCCACAAATCACAAATGCTGGAGAGGCTGTGGAGAAAAGAGAACCCTCCTTCACTGCTGGTGGGAATGCAGTTTGGTGCAGCCACTGTGGAAAACAGTATGGAGATTGCTCAAAAGACTAGGAACAGACTTAACCATATGACCCAGGAATCCCGCTCCTGGGCATATATCCAGAAGGAACCCTACTTCAAATGACACCTGCACTCCAATGTTCATAGCAGCACTATTTACAATAGACAAGATGTGGAAACAGCCTAAATGTCCATCAACAGGTGACTGGATAAAGAAGAGGTGGTATATTTATACAGTGGAATACTACTCAGACATAAAAACCGACAACATAACACCATTTGTAGCAAATTGGATGTTCCTGGAGAATGTCATTCTAAGTGAAGGAAGCCAGAAAGAGAAAGAAAAATACTATATGAGATCGCTTATATGTGGAATCTAAAAAAAAAGGGAGGGAACATAAATACAAAACAGAAACAGACTCATAGACGTAGAATACAAACTTGTGGTTGCCAGGGGTGGGGGCAGGGAAGGGATAGACTGGGAGTTCAAAATTTGTAGATACTGACAGGCATATGTATAATAGATAAACAAGGTTATACTGTATAGCACAGGGAAATATATACAAAATCTTGTGGTAGCTCATAGCGAAAAAAATGTGACAATATATGTATGTTCATGTGTAACTGAAAAATTGTGCTCTACACTGGAATTTGACACAACATTGTAAAATGACTATAACTCAATAAAAAAAATGTTTGAAAAAAAGATTTGATCTGGTTAGTTTACTATTTGAATGTTTGCCAGTGAGGAGCCACTAATCCATCTTTACTGTCATTTTTATTCTGGTTCACTAAAGTTTGCATTCAGCTGCATGGTGGTTGGGTTTTTTGTTGTTTTTAGGTTTTTGTTTTGTTTTGTTTTGTTTTTTCTCCTAAAAGAATATTTTTAAACTTCTCGATCTCAAATGACTGTAAGTTGCTGGCTAACATTAACTAAACATGTAGATCTGTTTGGAGGGGGGTGGGAAAGGTTGGTTTTTTGTTTTGTGTTTGTTTTTTCCTTTGTGTCTTGTATATTAATAGTTGGAACTTACATATGGATTGTAGTTGGTGAGAGAAATCTGCTTATAGTCTTACTTTCTTCTTCTGTATTTTTTCTTCCCAGTACATGGAAAAAGAGGATGCAGTGAATATCTTACAGTTCTGGTTGGCAGCTGATAACTTCCAGTCTCAGCTTGCTGCCAAAAAGGGCCAGTATGATGGACAGGAAGCACAGAACGATGCCATGATTTTATACGACAAGTGAGTTTGATTGATAGGTGCATTCAGCATTTCGCAGATACTTACTGAGTATTTGGTGTCTTCTTTGGAAATAAAGAATAAACTCAGTCTCTGCTGTCAAGGAGCTCACAGGGAGCCACGTACAAGCTGCTTTTCATTGGGGTGTGCACAGTGTGGGGGTCCTTAGAGTAAAAGTTGTTGATGGGGAAAGGGGAGGTGTGTGTGTGGCAAGTGGGATGGTGGCGGTGAGTTCATTGAGGGTTTCACAGAAGGAGGATTTGGATTGGATTCTGCTGGCCAGAGAAGGTGGGAAAGGACATTCTTGGCAGAGGCACCAGCACAAGCAGAGCCATAGGAACCTGGGGAGCATGTCACTAAAGACACTTGGCTCTGGGTAACTGACACCTGAGCAGGGTGTGTAAGCGGAGGAGGAACTCGCTGGACTGGACTGCAGAGGGCCTTAAATACCTGTGCGGTGGTGACCATGTCTTCTGGTGCAGAGCTGCTCAGCCAGACTGACGACTCAGAGGGGGATAGTCTTTCAGTAGTTTTCAGTGAAAATAAGAGGGCAGCAAAATCTTACAGTGAGCAGAACGGAAAACTCTATCCCTCTTTTTTTTCTTTTTTCTTTTTTTTTTTTATTTTCTTTGTTCTGTAAAGAAAAGTAATATGTCTCTGTGTCCATAAGCAAGTGGTAAGAGGAGGACTGGAGGATGGAGAAGAGTCCGGGCCAGGGGTCCTGGCCGCTGCTGCGCAGGCTCGCGCTGGGCTGTGAGAAGGAGAAGCGCCCAGGAGCTCCTCGGTCCTCCTCTCAGAGAGTCTGACTCAGCCGGTTGGAGGTGTGACCCAGGAGCCTTTAGTTTTAGAAGACACCCAGGTGATTCCGATAAATAGCCAGATTAGGGATCTAGTCTGATTTTTCCCATTTTGCAGATAAGAAAACTGAGGCTCAGAGGGTAGTGCCTTTCTCAAAGTCACAGGGTGAATTAGTGGCAGAACTTGGACTGGGTTGCAGCTTTTAATGTTTGTCCACTGTTTATTCTAGTATAATGTATTTGTGGGGAAGTGTTATATAGGAAACGTTGTTATATGTATGTTAATGTAGCAAGCATTTACATTTAGATATTTGGTCTGGAGTGCTCCAAAATTTAAATCATAGAGGAATATTTGCCAACTTATTTGTTGCAAGATGGGAGACTCACTTTTTGTTAAGAAAATGCTGGTAACAAGAAAAAAGAAAGTTTTTTCCTGCTGGAACTGAAGAGTGGATCTAAGGATGGTGGCGGGTTGACTCAGGTACCTCGGGGGCAGCGGGAATAAAGGTTGCGGCAGGGCTGTCAGCAGCCCCTCTCTGTGTCCTGCGTCTGCGGGCTGAATCAAGTAGCCCCACAGAAGATTCTCTGGTGTAGGGGCCAGAAGTTGCTAATAATTGTGTGGCATTCGGTTTCACTTTGGCTGTCTTTCTTCCATAGGTACTTCTCCCTCCAAGCCACACATCCTCTTGGATTCGATGACGTTGTGCGATTAGAAATTGAATCCAATATCTGCAGGGAAGGTGGGCCCCTGCCCAACTGTTTCACCACTCCGTTACGTCAGGCCTGGACGACCATGGAGAAGGTAACCAGACTTCAAAGGCATTGAACTACGAGAAGTTTTTACCGCTGGAACCCAAAATACTATGTGGGGAAAACCAGTTGTAACAGAACGGTGGAAGGTGGAAGCCGCGCGGCAGTGGTGGGGCGCAGAGGCGTCGCTGGGTCTCACGTGGTGCGCGTTCGTCTTCACAGACTGACTGGCCTCGGGCAGCTCCTCACGTTCTCTACCTTTGCTCATCTGTGAAATGGACTAATACAGATACTTACCTCAGTGTAGTTTGAGGGTAAAAATGAGGTAAGATGTATAGAGTGCGTGTTAGGGACACAGCATCCGACTCAGTAAGCATTAAAAGTGTGAAGTGCTCTCCTTACTGCCATTGTCACACCCGTGGGTCACTGCATAGTGTTCTGCAGCATTAGCCTGGAGACGATCCAAGTGTCTCGCCAAGACCCCTGTGGGGCTGGAGCGCTAGTTCTCAGCGTTGCGGTCGCTTACAGGGCCTCAGTAATAACTGCCTAATAACCAAGTGTTAGAAGTGGTGCATGGATCAGTCTTCTAACGAACCAGAGCGGGCTTTACTCGGCATTGCAGGGCCCAGGATGAGCCATGAGTTTATTTGGCTTAAATGTTTCCTGGGCATCTAGGCAGAAAGGGATTACGAGACACCACATGTAGAAACTGGGTTTCAGGAATATGGAAGAGTTACGCATAAAAAAAATCATTGAAGGGCTAGCGGTAAACTGGATGGACCATCAGCTATTGCCCAGGGTTGATCATTTTTTCATGATTGAAATGAAAAGTTTCTGATCGTAAAGGAAAAGTTCAAGATCTGTATCATACAAAGAACATAAACTTTCTGGTTAATAAAGTTAAAATACAGAAAAACAAACTGTAAAATACTCCTTACTAACTGTGTATTTAAGGAACTTAAGCCAATTTTAAGAATACAGTCAAGGATGCTTCGTCCAGTAGCACTGAGCGTCTCTGTGCTGGACGCTGGTGGTGCAGCGGTGTGCAGGACGTGGTTCCTGCCCTCCTGGACCTCCGTCTGTGAGGAAGGCACATACTAAACACAGGCATACATATTTACAATTGTGCCAAGTGTTGTGAAGGAAAAGTTGGTAATGGGAAATGCCAATAATAAACGTGGAAACTTAGCATCAATATAATTTTTAAATGCAGATAAAAACATCATGTAGCATCAGACATTTCTTAAACAATGATTTAAAAAAACAACGCAGTGTTGGAAAGCCTGATGTGTAGTGATACGTCTTCAACATCCTCCGCGTTATCAGAGCTAAAACCTTCAGACCATTCCACTCAGTAATCACACCCCTGGTAATTCATCTTAAGGAAATCAGTTCAAAAGTCAAAATCAGTGGATATGCAAAAATATTTATAACAAACAGAAAAATCTAGTTTCAAATTATATCCACTCCATGGACTGGTTTCTGGTCACTAAGAAGTCTTGATATCAAGTCCATTCAGTAGTTGCACGGCAAGTGTTTTGGGGGCAAAGTACCTGTAAATTGTAAGTTCTCATTATAGTTTGAATTAGAAAGTAAACTGTATACAAAGGGGTGATATTTGGAATGTAACAAGGAGAAGCAAAATCATGTGTGGTGACTGGTAGCATTGTAGGTAGAACTGTGTTTTGAAATAAAGTTGTGGTGTGTGTGATTCCACCATTGAAATAATGCATATCCTCTCTTTCAGGTCTTTTTACCTGGCTTTTTGTCCAGCAATCTCTATTATAAATATTTGAATGATCTCATCCATTCGGTTCGCGGAGACGAGTTTCTGGGAGGGGGTGTGTCGCTGACTGCCCATGGCCCCGGGGGCCCTCCTGATGACGCTCACCCAGGTGGCTCCGACGGTTTGGCTTCTCAGGTACCCACCGATTTCCTCTGCTGTTAGGAAGGAGGGCGTACAGATCCTTCCGTTCAGGTACCCGTGTCAGACCCGGTTTGTAAGTTTTAAGTTGTAGAAGAAACAAAAACAAAGGAGAAGCAGAGTCAGCCTGCTTACTGTCTAGTCTGACCAGAGTGTGTGTGACGGCTGCTGGCGAGTTACACTGAAAGGGGGCGTGTGTGTCATTCAGGCCTTTGTTCTGGCACTGGCACTTACTGGCTCTGTGGCTGCTGCTTTTAATAATCAAATGATGTGACATATCTATAGCCTCCAGGAAGCTCTCTGTATAATTATTTGAGAAATTTTAGTTACTGAATTTGGAATGCTTTTTTATAGGATGATTGCATGAACTCCTAGATTTATTACTATTTCACTGAAGAGCTTTTGGTTTTGTTTTGAACCGTGGTGTCGTTGGACAGCTCCTTAAGCTTCTTTGGTCTTTTTGGAGTGCTTTCATTCATCAGACCCGACCTGATTCTCCCCAAATCACGTGAAATGGGTTGTGCCCAAGGAAAGAGTTCTGGGGACATAGTAGAAAGGTGCCTGATTTTATCAAAGCCACGCAGTGAGTGGCAGAACCGGGGGTGTGTTCCCGGTCTAGTTTCTTCACCGTGGTTTTAATAATGTAGCAGAGTTGTTTCCTCATCCCCGTTGACAACTAAATAAGTAATCCTGGCCTTGGATCAATTTTCTTAGTTTATAAGACAGTAGCAATTTTATTGCCATAAGCAAGGCTCTCTCTGTAAGTTTTGAAATCAGAAAGTATGTGTTCACTGACTTTGCTTTTTTTCATTTGCAAGATAGTTTTGGCTGTTCTGGGTCTCTTGCCATTCCATGTGAATTTTAGGATCAGCTTTTCCATTTTGGTCAGGGTTGCACTGAGTCTTTAAATTGCTTTAGGCAGTATTGCCATCTTAACGACGCTGCCTCTCAGTCCACGAACGTGGGCTGCCGTTCCATGTAGGCGGCCTTTCATTTCTTTCAGCCATGTTCTGTAGTTTTCTGTGTATAAGTCTTACACCTCCTTGGGTCAGTTTATTCCTGAGCATTTTATTCTTTTTGATGCTACTGTAATTTGCTTTCTTAATTTCATGTTCTGATTCTTCATTGACGGTATGCAGAAACAGAACTGCTTTTGGTGTGTTTTGTAGCTTCAGCTTTACTAAATTCATCTGTCAGCTCTAATAGTTTTCCTGTGGATTCGTCAGGATTTTCTGTATGTAAGATTATGCTGTCTGTGGATGGAACTAGTTTTCTTTCTTCCTGCCCACTTTGGATGCTTCTTTCCTTTGCCTGCCGAGCTGCTCCGGTTAGAACTCGCAGGACAGTGTTTAGGGGAAGTCGTGAAGGTGGGCATCTTGCTCCTGATCTCTCGGGAAGGCGGTCAGGTTTTCGTCGTTTACCGGGATGTTCGGTGTGGAACTTTCACCAGTGCTCTTTATCAGGTTGACGTCCCTACTATTCTTAGTTTGTTGAATTTTTTTTACCATGAAAGGTGTTGGGTTCTGTTAGGCGTCTTTTCTTTGTCAGCTGAGGCACTTGCGTGGGTTTGGTTTTCCTCTGTCGGTTTCGGACATCAGCCCAGCCCTGCGTTCTCGGGACAGCCCCGCCTACTGTGGTGCGGGGGGCGCGAGTGCAGTGCTGGGCTTGGCCGCTAGTCTTCGGCTGAGGGTTTTGCGTTTCACTCTGAGAGATAGTGTCCAAAGTTTTCTTCTCTTGAGATGCCTGGTTTTGGTGTCTTACCTCAGTGGCCTCATGGAAGAATTCCCTCTTCTCTTATTCTGGTGCCTCTTTCTGATTAATTGTGCGCCCTTCTCAGCACACAGAGAGAGCCCTTTTCACCCCTACTGTAGAGTGTTCTGTAAGCATCTGTTCCGTTATTTTTTTAACTTAACGTACGCTTCAGTTGTAGATGTTAAGTGCGTTCCTGTCTGTTATTTTCAGTGGTGCTGCAGTAAGTAAGCTTGTGTATAAGGCAGCCACTTTGAACTATACTCTCCCCAACAATTGAATGTTTAAAAGTGGAGTCTCTGGGTTGGCCCTGTACCTCATGGACGCGCCAGCTCTGACTTGCTTTGTTTCCGTGGACGTGAGTGGGAGGGAGTGTGCCGCTCTCTGTCTAGCTGGTCATTTTAGAAAGTGTCCTTTATCTTCTCGTTCGTCACAGGGCCACACTGAGAATCAAAAGCGTTCATGTTTATCATGTAGAAGTTGGGCTTTACATTTATTAGCAAAGATACACGTGCCCCAAAGGATGGGAGTTTGGCATGGTTGGGACCGTCGGCATGTCTGTTGGAACTTAGGTCATTAAGAAAAACACACTTGACGTACGGGTGCACGTGTCGCATGTTTTAATTACGTGCTTTGAGGTTCCATTTCAGAGTCACTGCTGTCAAGTGTCTCACTAGTAACGGGGTTGAGTGAGAAGTACAGGTGTTTCAGAAGTAAAGATTTTGTCCAGATCTGTTATATTCAAAGCCAGGACCGATTTGATTCCTGAATAACCCACTACTAATTTCACAACTTCTGTTGTAGTCCAGTGTGAAAAAAGCCAGTGTTAAAATTCTGAAAAATTTTGATGAAGCGATTATTGTGGATGCTGCAAGTCTGGATCCAGAATCTTTATATCAGCGGACATACGCAGGGTGAGCATCTTTTGTATTTTCCAGTTTAAAATGTAAGAATGGTTTCTGATTGCTGCTGTATGCGCCCAGCGCTCTCACACGAGTGCTCCGTGGTGGGGCAGTTCAGAGTGAGGGCTCGGGGCACGTCCTGCATTTCCGTCTCAGCTCCGCCGCTTACCGGCAAGCTCTTTGACCCCTTTGTGTCTCAGTTTCTCTGTCTGTAAGATGAGGGTAGTGTCCTACTTTACTGGGTTGTTGGGGGGATTGAATGAGATGATACATGAAAAGCATCTGAACCAGTGCCTGGTATCAGTGGGCACTCGATAAATGTCATTACCACTGTCCTTGCACCACCGCACACGAGACTGGTGAGTGTCATGTTTGCATGGTGTGTTTTAGGCTGTCGCTTCCACTTTCATTTGGTTCACATGTCAGCTGTTTCAGAGTCTCTGCCTTAAAAGCAAAAATCAAGTACCAAGACACCAATATGATTTATTCTGGACTGTACAACTATCACAGTCATCCCTCAGTGGCAGCAGGGGATTGGTTCCAGGACCCCCTCGGATACTGAAATCTGAGGATGCTCAAGTCCTTTACCTAAAGTGGCTTACTTAGTATTTTAAACCTGTGTACGTCATCTCTAGGTTACTTATAACCCCTAATGCAGTGTCCATGCTGTGTAAATAGTTGTGAGCACAATGTAAATGCTATGTAAATGGTTGACAGTACACAGCAAATTCAAGTTTTGCTTTTTGGAACTTTCTGGAATTCTTTTTTTCTTCCTGAATATTTTCAGTCAGCAGTTGGTTGACTCTGTAGAGGGTGAACCCGCAGATATGGAGAGCCAGCTGTACTTGGAAAATGGAATAAAATCATTCCTTTGTATTTAAGAATTACTAGGTTGTTTATTTTGTCTGTAACAGGAAGATTTGCCCATACTCCTGTGATACACCACTTCTTGCACTTTACCGTGGATTGAATCATGAAATCATTGCCTCTTCCCTAAAGATGGCTTGAAAACACAGAACCCTGTGTAAAGGCTTGATTCCCCCACCTCAGTCCCAGCAGTACCACAAAAAGGAATTTCAGCACGCTCAATTGCGTTCATCCGAAAGTAAAGTGATAGTTGACAGACCAAGGAGTCTGGAAAGTACCTTGGAGAGAGCAGGTGGTTGTCCTCGGCCGTGTTGGGGTTGCAGTAGTCTTCATTTCTTCTTGTAGGAAATGGTGGACAGTAAGCTGGTGACTTCATGCCATTCTTAAGGAATGGTTGGTTCATTTATTTCAAATCTTACTTGAGAAAGTCTATCAGCTGCAAGATGTTTTATTTCTGTAGTGTGTGTGTGTAAAATAAATATATATAAAAATTCATTAAATTTAAATTTGTAAAATAAATACATATTTTTTGACTTATAAAATGGGTCAAAAATAGAGAATAATTATTTTCCTCAATCTTCAGAGGTAGTTTTCAGTGTTTGTTTTAGCTTTATGATTTTAGCATCTTCCTGCAGTTTTCCAGAAGGCAAACAAGCCTGCACCAGTTGGTACGTTGGTCCCCATGTATGAATCTGACTCACTAGGAAGGCCCTCTGTAAAAGAAGATCCACTTTTTGTGAAATGGAGTAACTTGCAGACACCACAAGATTTGTCTTTCTTCTTCAGCTAACTTTCAGTTACAAATGTGTTAATCTCTCATGAAAACCTGAGTTTACAGGTGAGGCTGAGCCCCCTTATTGCACAGCAGGGCCTGTTGTCTCCCTTCCTCGAGGGTGGTCACTGCTATGTTGTAGTGTATGTTTTTGTTTCTTGCGTTTATGTAACTGATACTCTGTATCTTGTGCTTTCACTCACAGTGAATTTTGAAGATTTTTCTGTTAGTCCACACAGATTTACCTCATTTTAACCATGTTAGAGTGTTCTATACATAATTATAGCTCGTGGCTGTGGCAGAATAGTCCGTAGTGTGCTTTGTTACTGTTTGGCCATTTTGGTATTGATGAGTATTTAAGTTGCTGGCAATCTTACTGTTAAACCGTGTAGCAGGGGACTTATTTTTCTATTTCCTAGTGCCAAGAAGCAGATTTAAAATTTTAATAGCCCTTCCCAGTTTACCTTTTAAAAGGATCTGTACATTTTCCATTCTTACCAATCATTAATAAAGATACTAATTTTCCCCACATCCTTGTCAAAATAAATAATATCAAAGTTTAAACTTTTTCAGTAATCTGGGGTTATTGCTTATGAGATTGAGCTTCTTTTGGGCTGTTTGTTGGTGGTTCAGATTTTTCTTCTATGAATGGCTGTTCATCTCCTTTTCACATTTTTCTGTTGGGTAATTCCATAGCGATTTGTCGGAATTCTGTGTGTTTCTGGATATTAATTATCAGTTACTAACATCTGTTAAAAATAAGGCCTTTCACTGTGTTCTTTGCCTTCTAAGTTTGCTTTCTGTTACTATACAATGTATATAATTACAACATATTTTGATCTTGTTAGGGCAAGTCCTACCTTTCTGCCTCTTTTACAAAGTTATTTTGGCTATTCTTATGCCTTTTCTGTATGAATTTTTATAACTGAGTTATCTACTAATTCACCATGTTTCATAAACTTTCTGAGGACCTTGAGTGGAATTGCTTTGGCGTAAAGATGACTTTCTGTGGGGGTGGTTCTTTTGACGTAAGCCCCACTCTGAGTAACATGGGATAGACGTAAATTGTATTTCTGGCTTTCTAGATCTAGATGAGGTGCTTAAAAATTGATTTTTTTCTTCTTAATTTAAAATTGATGTTATAAATTATATTCTTTTCATCCTTACCTAGGAAGATGACGTTTGGAAGAGTGAGTGACTTGGGGCAGTTCATCCGGGAGTCTGAGCCTGAACCTGATGTAAAGAAATCAAAAGGTTTGTGGTGTTTTTATTTACTGCTCTCGTCTCGCCTCTACTCACGTTAGTCACTGACTGTAAGTGAAGGACCATTGGGATACAGACTGTTTCTTTTACAAAGTGACTGCCGTCTCTGACCCTGCGTCTGCAGTCATGCGTGGGTATCAGGGCTGTACAGTCGCTCTGACCAGAAGGTACTGAACCTGCTTTCCTGTCACAGAGGCACGTCTGTGTGGAAAGGCACTTGTCACCTTTCTATTTAAAGGCAGTACATCCAGTCCAGGTTGGACTTGAGGTTTATCTTGAGACCCTTTATTGTATTAGATTTCTCCTAAATTGCTGAAAATTATGATGAAATAATAATATGGAAAATACTAATAGGTTGACATTCAGTTCCTTTGTTTAATCAGCAAAAGAGAGTGTGACTAATTCCAAAAGTTAAACACAGAAATCCTTTTGACAGGTATGTTCTTTGTGACTGACTTCAGCTTCCAAACAACTGGTTATGCAGGAATATTTTGGGAACCAGTGTAGATCCAGTCAGAGAATATCTAGAAATTTTCCAGTGTGGTTGAACTGACAGTGCTGCCTCGAGTAAAAAAAATACTAACTTATGTAAGAAGAAAATGCTCCATTTTGACAAATGTGTCTAAAGTTAAGAGCTCTTGCTCATCTTGGTGTTGAATGGAATAGAACCACATTCCTAGCGTGTTTATCTTAGTTTTGAACACATGTCATCGGGGGATGAGTCGCACCGATTTATGTTGGTGGATAATCTGCTTTGGGGTCAGATAGAAATTAACGGAGTGAGCAGAAAGTGCAGCAGTCGTTGAAGTAGTTTAAACCATAAACCAAAAAAGGGCCCGTTAACCTACTTGTCTTCATTAGTTCATCCCAATAATTGGTTTTATTCCTGTTTTGCCAGAGAAGTCTGAGGTACACAGCTGGGAAAAGCATAAAGGTGCAAGGACGTCTACACAGTTCTTTCAGTAAATGATTTTTTCAGGCCTCTGTGCACTCACACTGGCAGGTTAGAGGGCACAGATCCTGCTGTCAAGAGACTTACAGTCCAGCGTGTCTTTATCGGGCAGAAGATGTGGGGATGCACGGGAGGCTGGAGCGGGAAAGCCACACGATGTGAGCGATGTTGTCAGAAGGGCGACCCCACGGCCGTTCGGAGCGTAGACTGTCGGGGCGCGGGGGGCAGGGAAACGACTTTCTCGCCGCGGTCCGTGTAAGGGGCGAGGACGGTGACCGTGGGTCCGGTAGCGGAGGAATGGTGGGGTTTGGTTCTCTGAAAGTGGAGGCAACAGGATCGTGTCTCTGCCAGCAAGCCCGTGCCTCCGGTTACTGGTGTTACTGCTGTAACCGAGATGCACCACAGCAGGTAACGACTGGTAGTTCCTGCAGTCTGAGTAGATACGTCTGTCTGTCCCGGCGCTTCCGTTAGTTGTCAGGTGTCTGTGAGTCGGGTGTTTTTCAGTGAGTGAGTGGCGTCGCGTAGGAGCTTACAGACTCAGTTCACTCGCTCAGCAGGCACTGGAGTGACCCCTGTGTGCGGGACACTGCGCTGGGTCCCAGGGAGGCAGCTGAGAGGGCGTGGCCCCTGTTCCGCGGCGCTGCCTGGGCAGGCCTGTCGTGCTGCTGCCCTGGGGGACGCCTGAGCCTTTGGGTGCTCTGGGTTGTGTTCCTTTCCTCACTGCTTCCTCCCTCATGTCTCTTCCAAAGCGGAAGGTGTACCTGAGGCCTGATGGTTCAAGTTACACGTTTTGGTTAGCCTACGTCATGGGTGATGCTACATAGTGTTTTTAAAAGGAGAATAGATGTGTAGAGAGAGGTACTTACATCTCCGTCTCCTGAAAGGACGCAAGAAGATGTAGCCTAGATTGCTTTGGAGATAAGAAGAGGGAGCCTTTACTTTCCACTGTACCCTATTCCTCTCCTTTCTGAGTTTCCTCACTCCACTTGCTGCTTAGCCACCCCCCCACGGCATCCTCTTGCCCCTTCACTGTGACCTTGAGTGGCCCCTGGCTGCCTCTGCACCTTCACCTCGAACGACGAACAGCGCTTCCCTTTGCAGAGTGAGCTCCAGCTGGACGCTCCTCCATTCTTCGGAGGCCCCCTCCTTGAGGGCGTCTGCGGCCCCTCCCCTCACAGACGCCCTCTTCCGAGGAGACCTCCCAGCCCACGTGGTCTGGGGCCGTCCACCCCACCAACACGTCACTTCTTCGTCTTCTTGTTCCTGGTCTGAAGTCATCTTGTCCATTTATTTGCATGCTTGTTCATAGTCTCATTTCTCTTCCATTACTAGAGTATCACCCCTCTGACAGCAGAGATTTTGTCTATCTTATTTGGCATCGCATTCCCTGATTCTAAAACTACGCCTGGCACGTGGTAGGTACTCACTGAATTAATTAACCGTGAAGAATTTCAGTGGATGTTATCTGCGTGGTAAGATTACGGGTTTTATTTATTTTATTTAAGAAGAAAATTGTTCTTGGTGACACAGACACTAAGTTTTCTCATCCAAATTGTTTCATTCTTGTGAAAATATTCAGAGCTCCGCTCCCCTCTTCTCAGACCCAAATGCCGGAGGTTTCTGAGCGTTTTCAAGCTCATTCAAATCTTAGATGATGCATCTGTGGGTGCCCCTCCTTCTACAAGTGAGGACGTTGAGGATCAGGGGAGCTGCAACTTGTTGGGGGTCACCGAGCAGAGTGATAGCAACCCTGGGGCTTTGCGTCCGAGTACCATGTTGACAGGGTTGTTTGCAGTTCAGCTCTGCTTCCTGTCCCTCCCTCTCCTTGCTGGGGGCAGCTGCAAAGAATCTTTGTCGTTTACCAACCTGTGGTTTCATTTTGGATTTTAAAACTCCAACAGTAGAGCACAGAAGAAAGGGCTGAATTTTGAGGCAGTATATCTCTCTTTTGCAAATGTGAGAACTTTGCTCTCAGGGCAAGCAAGGTAATTTTAAAAGTTACCTTCGAGTTGTCTGGGACAAAGTGTAGCAAGAAGGAATTGTGAAGGGCGTGGTGGGCGGGTAGTCCCTGCAGCTCAGCCCCTGTGCCGGGGTGCAGTGGCGGGAGGTGAAGCCCTGCTTGCGCTGGGAAAGCCCCTGCCTGTCACAGGAAGAAGCCTGCGTCACCGTCATTCAGGCACCAGAGTTTGTAAGCAGAGAGCGGTGAGGTGCATTTTTCTGCCCGTCGTCTAGGAATGAATGGGAGTTGGGGAGAGGCCGGAATTAGCCTGGCCACGTAGTAGAATTTGCTAGTAATGCAGAGAGAAGAAAAAGAAGAATGGAGGGTAGGTAATGGTAGCAGGAATTAGAGAGAAGATCAGGTTTATAAGACTTCCCAGGGGGAATTCAGGAGACTGCATCCAGGGTGGAGTTTGGTGACAGATTTCATATGGAGAGTAATGAGGAAGGTAGATGAGTTTTAACACGAGTTCTCTAGATGAAAAATTACAATGTTAATTTTTAATAGAGGATTAAGCTATTGTCTGAGCTGGAGGCTGCAAGGAAGAGAGTAGGTGCCTTGGAGCACGTTGGGGCGGTTTGTGAGTGGGAGACCGTCAGTGCAGCGAGGCTGGGGGTCCCACAGCCGCCAGGGACGTCTGGCACATCACGAAGTGTTGCGGCCCTGGTGGCTCTACCTGGCATTAAACTTAACCGACCAGCGTTCAGACTTTTAGCTAATCATAACAATTATGCAGGGGGAAGGATCCAGGCTTTTGTTTCCCATGAATGCTGTAGTTGCATGGAACCATAGAACTGGAGAGCTGGGTCCCAGTCCTTGAACTAGTCAGGGCCTTGCCCGGGAAACGATCTGCCAACCACTTGGTTTAAGGCAGCGTCAGGATGCAAGCCTGTTTGTATGAATGAAAGGAGACGCTGTGTATTTAACTCCTGGAAGTAGAGGCTAACCCACGTCCTCGGTGATCCCTCTGCATCTAGAGTGCAGGTGTAGATAGGTTGTGTGTCTCCCAGGAAGCGGAGGTGTGTTGTGGCCAGGGCAGAGTGTGGCTGGCTCTTGAAGACACTGGTCTTACCCAGCGAACTCACGCGGACCAGAGGCCCAGCGCTGAGCAGCGTACTCCGCCCTGGACGCCCTTCTGTTTTGGAGCTGAGCGGAAAGATTTGGGTCCCTGGTGGTGGATTGATACCTCCTGGTGTGCTGCTAGATTCTTACCCCAAGACCACATCCTCCTCATGGTTTTGTTTTACTCTTTGAATGTTTGCTGCAAATCTAACACTCGATAGTTTGTTTCCTCGGGTGAAGCGAGTAGAAGAAAAATCTAGAACTCTAAAACAGCTTTTCACAATTTTCAAACCTTAATCTTTGCAAGTTAAGTATCCTGTTATGGAGACAATATAATCAGTTTTTACTTAATTTGGGGGTGAGGTTATCCCCCCCAAAAAAAATCCATGTCTGGAAAATAGTTTTTAAATAAGGGCATTTTTTTAAATGTAAAACTACGCATGAGATCTACATTCAGCTTTGGCTTTGTTTTCTAGGATCCATGTTCTCACAAGCTATGAAGAAGTGGGTGCAAGGAAATACTGATGAGGTAAATTCTGCTTTTGCTGCAGAGATTCCTGTTTGTAAGGGCATCTTGCCTAAGTAAGACTTCAGGTGTTCTCTGTCTCTGGTTCCCTCGGGCACATCGCTGCTTCCCTGCCTGCGATGTATCTGGAAGGCGTGGGCCTCCTAGCATCCCACAGTTGCCTGGTAGAGGCAGTGGCAGTACCTTCAGTCCAGAGACTCTGGCCCCCGAGAAATATCCATGTGGCCAGGTTTCCGTTGACCAGCAGCCACTGGTAGTCAGTGCAGAAACAGAAGCTCGGGTGGTTCCTTCCTCGCTGTCAGTTTTACTTTCAGAGGTGGAGGTTTGCTTTCTTGAGTAGTTAAGTACATTGAAAGACGAGAGTGGAAAAAGAGACATGTTTTGTTTTGACGTCTGACATGAAAGTGGTCAGGAAGTTGGGTGGCCCGTGGCTGAGTCTGGGAGGTGCTGAAGAGCATGTCAGTGTGTCGCACCTGGGGGCAGCCCGGGTCCTTTCACACACGGATCGCGCGTGTTTCCCACTAGGCAGAGATGATGTGCATGTGCAGACCAACAGTGTGTGTTGGTTCTGCTCGTGAATACGCATTATCAACAGTCTGAACGCCTTCTTCCAGGCCCAGGAGGAGCTAGCCTGGAAGATCGCTAAGATGATCGTCGGCGACGTGATGCAGCAGGCGCAGCGCGGCCAGCCACAAGCGGAGTCCGCAGGGGTAAGGGCGGCGGCGCGCTGGCCCGGCGTCGGGGACGCTGCGGGGAATTGGGTTCCGGAGATACAGAAATGTGAACGTACATAACGGAGCTCCTGCCTTTGAAGGAGTGACCGTCATAGGAATTGCCTTCTAGTTATAAACAGCTGGAGAACTCTCAGACTAAATGGAACAGCAGTTTCCAGACAGCAGGCAACAGGCAGCAGAGAGCTGTCGTCCCTGAGAGACGGGTGGCACGGTCGTGATCGCCAGTTCACTTCCCAGGAGCGGTTTCCAAAGTGCAGGGAGGGGGAAGCCTAGCAAGGTCGGAGTCTTGCTGAACCGAGGAGTCAGAAATCAGCGTTTGGAGAGCCCAAGGTGGCTAGAAGTCACAGAACAGGCACAGAAAGGAAGGACCCGCATAGAGAGGGAGCTCCGGAGGCACTGAGAGAGGTCCTTTTAAGTCCTTGGCCACGTGCTGATCTGTATACATGTTGGGGGAGATGCCCGTTGCTAGGCAGAGAATTAGAGGGGTTAGCAGGCTGAACGGCTCTCGTGCTGTGGGGGGGCTCGGAGCGGTTTGTGCGCCCGCTGCCCGGTGAGGGCAGACCTTGTGGCGCACAAGGCGGTGTCCTTGGGAATACTCTGCCTTACTACGAGACGTGGACTAGCCCTGGAGTGAGGCGCCACAGCCAAGCTTAAAAGCAACTTCTGAAAGGATCAGACAGCTCTGCACATAACAACTGCACGCCAGAACACAGGCCAACCCCCCTTAAAGGAATGAGCCGGAGAACATCTGCTCACACCCTGTGGAGACACCAGGCACCTCCCCTGTTGTCTGATTGGTGAAAGCTAGGAAGCCGAGGTACCTGTGCTGAGATGGCATCCCGTGTACCCTCCGTGGTCTAGAGGTGTGAATTTAGGTTTGGGTCCAGCATCACCCCTTCCCTGCCAACTTTTTTTCTTTTTTTCGTAGAGGGGGCGGTAATTAGGTTTACTTATTTTATTTTATTTTATTTTATTTTTAATTTTAATTTTTTGATTGAGGTGCTGGGGATAGAACCCAGGACTTCGTGCATGCTAGGCATGTGCTCTACCACTGAGCTATACACCTACTCCCCCCACCTCCCCCGGCCAACTTCCTAGCCAGCTTTTTACTCTGAGAACTGTCTCTACCAGAGCTTGGTTTAATTTTGAATTATTCACTGAGCTGATTCGTACCAAAGCTCAGTTCGCTTTGGCAGATTCCATCCTCTTTTCTCTGTAAGGGTGCTAATTTTTGTCTATATTTATCCTCACTGGCTCAGTCAAACCTAAAATAGCAAAGAGCAAGATAAAGGTGTATAAAGCAATGCAAGGTAGTTATTTTTGTGATGCCGCATCATGTTGGTGGTAAATGTTTGACGGTGTGGCCGTGTTCGTTAGAAACCGTGGAAAGCAGATGCTTCAGAGGAAGGCTTTCCATCTGAGTCGTGCGTTCAGGTTTTGTCACCACGTGCTTTTCCTTTCTGGGACATACAGACATGTTCTGCTGGGCTTCGCTCTTGCCCTTGCTGGGCTTTCTCTCTGTCTGGCCGGGGTGTCCGTCCTGCCTGTCTGCGGGGATCAGCAGTGTGTTGGAATGTAGGGGCCCTGGACCAGCAGACCTAGTTTAGGCCACTTCTAGTCAGTGCGTGTGACCTTTCGCAAGTTGCTTCTCTGCAGCCCTTCATTTCCTTATCAGTTGATCAGGGAAACTGAACAAGAAAATCTCATTTTGTAATTCTCATTCTGTGACTGCAGAAGTGTGAGAAGTCCTGCGTCCACAAAGGAACGCCCAGCCCCTCCTCAGCCCGCTCTGGTGCCTCTCTGCTGGGAGCCCCTGCCCCGCGTTTGCCTGTGGAGTGGGCCTGGGCGGCTTGCGCCGGGCCCTCGCAGCACTGCTGAGTTATCCCGTGTGCGGACGCCCCGTCACAGACAGCAGAGGCCGCGTCTTCTGTGATGTGTGCCTCCCTCCCAGTGCAGTGGAGGGACGCTTGGCCCCAGGAGGCACGATGATCAGAGCTCCCCTCTTTCCTTCTGGAGGCTTTGGCACGTCCCACGCTGTGGCTCTGTTGTCATTTGTAGGTGGTCACTTAGGCTGTTTCAAGTTGCTCCCTGTTACAAACAGTACTTTAATGAATGAATGTGTGTGTGCAGCTCTGCTCTTACTTACGGATACATGAGATCTAACTCCTAGGAGCAGAATTTTGTGTCAGAAAGTAGGTGTTTGGTTCTGATATTTATTACCAAAACAGAAAGATAAAAGCTGGTCTGGGTGCCAGTCCTTGTGTGACGTGGGGGTAGGGTGGCAGTGTGCTTGACCTCTAGGCGTCTGTTCACTGCCGTGTGAATGACGAGAGCTATAGGGCTTTACCTCCCGTGACTGTCGTCAGGTCCTGGCTATCATGAGCACAGTATACAGGTGGCATTCACTAAGTGTTGGTTCCCTTCTTCCTTAATCTGTGGTGATGTGTCGCTGGTTATAGAAATGGCCCTTACCTTTTTCTTTCTTTTTTCAGCTATGACTCAAGACCTGAGATAAAGGAAATCAGCTTTTGGAGGATAAGAGAACTTTTTCCCTTTGTTGGTTTCTTCAACACAGCCGATGAAAACAGAGCACTGTATTTCTTTTCACTGATAAAAATCACTGTTGTTCCCGAGAAAGAATGGCAGACAGTCCCAGACCTCCACCTCAAGCAGAGCGGCACGTAGACACACCTGCTGCACACAGTGTTCACACAGTGAAAGTCAGAAGCAGACAAAGTGGTATTGTTTACATTACTAGAAAATTACTAGTTTTCCAATGGCAATAACCCATTTATGGAAGAGTTCCAGTCTGGAACCAACAGGGACCATGTGCTGTGCGAGGCAGAGGAGCGCAGAGCTGAGACCCGGTGCACGTCTGGTAACCCATCCCTAACAGCAGCGTGAAGCAGGTAGCAGAGGTGCTTGGCCCAAGCAGGCGGGGGAGCTGGCCCCTCCGGGGGCCCGCGGTGCCGGGCGCCGGCCAGCAGCCTGCCTTCCTTCCGGTCGCGCGGGGCGAAGGCTTGTCCTGCGTCTCCCTGCACGGAGGCGGCAGTGTGGGAGGGGGCTGACGGGTCACGGGGCAAGTCTTGGTGACACTGGCCTTCTCTTTGGCGGCGGTGTATGGTTTTCATGTCGTAATAGCTCCTGAGATGCAGTGTGCTTAAAACCAGCCCCCCTGCCGCCAAAGGGCTGAGCGTCCTGAGCTCTGAGCTCTAGGGCTTGCTCCCCTGGGGTCCTGTCCTCCAAGCTCCTCCCCTTTCCCCAGTGCACGGGGAGGGACCATCTGGCAAGGATCACTCCACTCTTCCCCTTTGGTACCTTGAACA